TATTTTAAATTACTTATAATTTAATAAATTTAAGGAGATGTAACATTAATGAAAAAAAAACGAAATAGACGAACGAAAAAGTAATAAAACTAAAGAGTGAGGAGCTTATCCAAGAGTAATATTATGTCGTTTTTTATAATTTAAAGAAATGGAAAGAAAAAACTTTAACCAAAGATGCAAAATCTACCATGCATCTAACAAGAAAGTTGGATTTACTAATGCTTGGTATGGCCAACAAGATGTGACAGCACAAGATGAACATACTTTGCTTAATCATATATATTCTTCTTTATCAAATTACAATTACAGAAAATTAATCCTCGGATTCTTCTTGTTTTTTTAATTAATTCCAATGTTTATGTTGATTATGAATGAATCAACACCAATTATTACATAGCAGCATTATAAACCCTCTTCATGATCTTCTTTTCAGAGTGGCATCAAGTCGACTTTGTGTCATATTAATTGCCCTTTTCCCTCTGAAATAGACCCATTAATTGTCATTGCATAGAGTTAGCTTCCAAATAATCTTACAAATCACAGTTATTCTCAAAAGTAATCATACATAGCAAAAATAAGAAGTATAATACTAATACACTACTCAAAATATTTTCTAATCTGAAAACAAATATCATTTATTTAATCTTAATTTAAGGGTTAAATATGTTTTTAGTCTCTAAACTATTGGCCGTTTCTGGTTTTCTTTCCTCTTTCAAAATAAGGTACAATTTGGTTCTCATTCTTTTCAAAACTCTAGTTTTAGTCCTCGAAACTTTGGTTTTAGTCCTCGAAAACTACCACATTTTTAACGGTGTTAGTTTTTGATGACTAAAACCAAAATTTTGAAAAAAATGAGGATCAAATTGTACCTTATTTTTGAAAGAGGGACGAAAACCAGAAACGACCAATAATTTAGGGACTAAAAACATATTTAACTCTAAATTTAATTTTAAAGAGTAAAGTAATTTTTTTAATTTTAATGAAATTTACACAATTGTTAATGGGGGAAAACAAAGTAAGCTAATTATTTTTACAATAATTGATAATTTTGAGAGAGATGAAGAAATGGTTTAGAAACTGAAGAAATTAAGTCATATTTAATTAGGCTTTGCTTAAATTTGTCTTCTTTGGTTTCCCGTTTACTGTAGTACTTGACACATTTTATTTTGGTTTAATAGCATATTTAGTCCAGTTGAAAAATCTCAATTTAGTCCCTCGTTATAAAAGTGTTTTGAATTAGTCCTAACTTTTAAAATAGTGGGTCAGATTGGTCCTTTCTGTCAAATATAAGTTAACAAAATTAATGGATGATGATATGACACAACTTAAAGCTAACGAGGGACCAATCTAACACATCATCATCCATTAATTTTGTTAACTTATATTTAACGAAAGGGACCAATCTGACCCACTATTTTAAAAGTTAGGACTAATGTAAAACACTTTTATAACGAGGGACTAAATTGAGATTTTTCAACCAAAGTGAGGACTAAATTGGCTATTAAACCTTTTATTTTTCTCTTTTTCATCTGTCTTGAGATTTAAAATAAATAAGTTATTTAAATATTCTTTCAAATATTAGATATCGTAAAAAAATAGGTCCTCGAGTGTTAAAAAATGTTTAAAAGTCATCTTTAAATTTTAATAAAATATAATAAGCTGAAAAATAAATTCCTAAATTCTATATTTAGTTTAAAGGACTACTTATATAATTGAATTACTTTAGAAGAAAAAAATTATCCTGGAAAGATTCTTTTAATATAATCTTTGAGAGATTTTAATACTAAATTATGACTTAATCATTTTAAAAGTATTTATCTCTTTTTTCTCTCTGATGAAAAAATATATTCACATAGTTAGTTATCCTCGCAAATCTATAACTATAAAGAGGATATTCTTTTGTGTCTTATTTTGTTTTTTTAATTTTATTCTTTTAATTATTATCTTTTATATTTAAATAATAATTTACAGTAAAAAAATTATTTTTCAATTTTATCATTCTAATAACTATTTTTCTTAATTCAAATAATTATTTATTTTTTTATCAATCACTTTTTCAAATTTAAATAATTACTCCTAATAAAAAAATATTTATACAATATTATTCATAATATTTTTATTTTAATAATTAATATTTATTTTATTTATAATTATATTTATAACTATATATAATTTTTATTTTTAAAATTTTATTTTAATTTAAAGACGATATTAAACAGCAACTTGTTTTTAGCTGTTACAAACCTGAGAATTGATAGGGTAGGGTTCACATATAGAGTGTTTTTTCCTTCTACTGTTTCAATTTCAGCACGGAGATATGTAGAACCAAAAAACAAAATTTCTTAAAAAAAAATACCATTCTTTTCATAAATTGATAAAAAAAATGCGCGAGTTATTATGTCTAAATATTAACAAAACATTTAAAAGTATAATTAATATAATTTTATATATGAAAACATGATTAATCATGTAATTAATAATTACATTTTTTATTATAATAAAACAATATTATTAAAATAAATAAATAAATAAATAAAAGTATTAATTACAAATAAATAAATTTAGCTTGTTCTCATCTTCAGTTCATTATTCTCAATTTAAACAATTTTACTTATATTTTTTTTTCTTTACTTTTTATATTTTTCATTTTCCCATCCATTCAAATATTGAATGTTTATAGATTTTGAACAGACAAAAGTGTAAAAGAAAATGCAGAAATTATTCCCTTATTTTATAAAATTTATTTATTAAATTTATCTTTTTTCTCTTTTTATCCTATCATATTATTTATTACTTATTTTTCTCTTTTAATCTACCATGCTCCGTTTGATCCTATTATTTGGTTGCTTAAATTTTATACACATAAATCAAGAAATATAGAATTATGAATATTAAACTAATTTATTATTTTATAAAATTCTCTGACTGACATTTTAACAACGCTTTCATGAGTGTTCTTTTACAATGTAGCTTCTACTACATGACTTTTTCAATGTAGCTTCTACTAAATGATGTTAACGTTGTCAACGGTATTTTATAATATATATATATATATATATATAAATATTTAACATAAGTAAACTCTTTTTTAAGTTGGTACATTTTAGTAAAATATATCGGATTTTAAAAGACAAAAATACTCTCATATATTATGGATTCTAAATTCTAAGGTTAAGGGTATTTCAATAATTTTCATTTTCAAAACTAAAAAAACAAAACAAGAAACATCTAAACACTGACTCACTCTAACATTCTCTCTGTCATTCCTATAGTAGCCTCAATTGAAAAAATCATAAACATTCACCTAACCCTAATCAACATTTCTCACTTATCCAATTTGTTTCTCTCTCACCCACACAATAACCCGCGACACCGCAATTTCTTGTTTTTGCTATGTTCGTTCATTTGTTTTACACTTTAATAACAAAATAATTTATGATGTTGATGTTGATTTTTTATTAGAGTTGTGTTATATCGTATGGAGATTTGATATTTTCACTATTAAGTTATCCCAAAATATTTTTCAAAAAGAGAAAAATCCTTATGTGGAAAGGGAATTCCGGAAGGAGTAAGTTATTGTCCAGAAAATAGATTTCTGAAATCAGCTCTTAAAAATCATTCTAAAAACATATTTTCCGCTGAAAACAATATTTCGAAATATATTTTTCACCATCTGCATATAACCAACGTCAAAACACATCGTACTAAATGATTTAACATGAACAAATTATTGAAGAGAGTTATGAATAGAGAAAATTGTTGTTGTTGACTTTGTCCCCTTATTCAGAAAAGAGACCATTGCTCGTTTCCTTTCGAATGTTTCATATTGATAAGCATGTTTTCATTTCATTTTTGTAAAAAGAATAAAAATATTATAACAAATTACACATCTTTTATATTTGAGCAAATTGCAAAATATAAAATAGTTTCCAAGAAGAACTGCATTGATATACCAACTAATTAAAAATCAATCATAAATTAGTAAACTAGTCATAATGAACATGTTATGTCTTAGTTGGACTAGAAAGATATTTTCCAAAGAATCACATCATGTAAGTTTATTTTAAACAATTCACATCTCCAACTTGTTTGGTCAATATAAATATGATATTATCATAATAAATATGATATTGTCATTTTGGTTTATCATTTGCCACAGTTGTGAAATTAAGAAAAACAAAACGAACTGAATTTCAAATTGGAATTTAAACTGTTTAACTTCTACTCCTTTCATTTCTATGATTTTATCAAAATTGGTATTAAGAAACTAAATGGTTTGCAACTATTATGGGTTATAACATAGTCCTCCAATCAAAAATCAACATCAACTTCAGAGCAAGAATAATAAATTGCGGTGTCATAGATTGTTGTGTGTGGGTGAGAGAGAGGATGGAGATGAGAGAGAAACAAATTGATAAGTGAAAAGGGTGGATTATGGTTATGTGGGTGTTTTTGATATTTTCAGTTGGAACTACTATAGGGATGACAGAGAGAATGTTAGAGTGAGAAAGATGAAAGATGAAAAAATTATTGAAATACACCTTAAAACTTAGAATTCGTAATATATATAAGAGTATTTTTGTCTACTAAAATTCAGTACACTTTATTAAAATGCACCAACTGAAAAAAGAACTAGCAAACCCTATATATATATATATATATATATATATATATATATATATATATATGTATATATGAAATTGTAGTTAATGCCATAACAAAGGAATAATATTTAAAGAAAAGGCAATAATTTTCTTAATATATTTTTATTATAAGTTAAAATTTATTAAAACTCAAAATCTAAAAAGTGAATGATCATAAAGGAAAGGCTCCAAAATTTTATAATTTTTCAATAGACTTTAGTTTATGGGTTGAACACATTTATTAACATTTGGCTAATAGTTAGATATCTACTTCTGCCTCCATATATTTAGAGCCCTAGTTTGTGTATATGATGAAAGGAGGAGAGAAACATATAGATGTAGTAAGAAAATGCGATTGATAAATGGAGTTTTTTAATCCATTTGCATTTTGGGGATAGAAGTCTGAGAGAATTTACAAAAAGGGATGACAACCTAAGGCATTGTAACTATACAATTGACCACTTCTACTACATAAGTTGCAACCTATTCTAAAATTCTAATAGATTTAATATGTAATCCCCACATCTTTGTTCCTCAACCATCCAAAAAGGTTGAAGTGATCATCCTCACTTCAAAATACAAAAAACACATGATAAATATATAACTATACTTTGAAACTTAGGTCCTCAGTTCCCTTGGAGTCCACGTGGATTTCTCCATTTTTTGCAGTCAAAGAACCATCTCCTTCAGCATCGAAGCTAGCATGGACACTGTAAAAGACATAAAAAAGCACCGCAACAGCCGAAAAGAAGCCAAAACGAACATAGGATGGCCCATCCAGGGATCCCAACAGAAACACATTGAGAAAGATAGATATGGAGGGTATCCACGGCATGAATGGGACACCCCAGAATTCTGGCTTTCGAACTTGAGGGACCATGCAATGGAAAAGTTGTAATATTGCAATCGCAATAATACCAGAGACACTCAGCATCCCTGCCTTCGCTCCTCCCGTTGGTACAAATTTCCAAATAAGGGTGAACATCATTGCGGTAAAGGAAAACGAGCACAGAAAGGACAATGTAGGCCATGGATTGCTTGTCCCCGCTGCCACATAACGTCTGTAGATCACGGCATTTGCCACCATGTAAAACACAAACAGGGTGCCAATTGACACCAGATCCAGCAGGACATCAAGATCAGCGAAAAGGGCGATTGCCGCTGTGAAGATCCCTGAAATGGAAATATTGTTCGGACATCAGACAAAAATAAATAAATAATAAATTTCAGACTAGAAATGCACAAGTTCACATGCTACCACTCAAATAGCCTACTGGGAGAGGAAAAGGAATTTTGGATAAGAGATAGTGAGAAGTCAAAACGCACCACAAAGCATAATATCAAGGAAATCAAACAATCCATCATTAAGGCTAACTTTAACTCGCTACATAAAGAGCTAAGGTCATGATCAGTCAATGATTCCAATCAAGAGGGAATATATTACTCATCCAATAGTGGTGGTCGAATCAATAGAAACCACCAATATCTTCCATGCGAAATGCTTTATTATTCTTCTAATGGGAGTCACATACAGAAGCCTATTATTTTACATGAGTGAGTGATTCACATCTTCCCATTCTAAGCCACACAGCAAAACAGCAAAAGACACAGTTGTCATAGTCCTTCCATCCATATCCACTGAAGATACTGTTCATCGAACGCGTGATTTCAAGCTAGTCCCTGTAAAGGACGGGATAGGCACACAGACCATACGGGGGGACCAGATATTACTATACAAAATATGGGAAACCACGTTATAGGCTCAAAACGCTTGAGAACATGTGACACCCATATGGGAAAATCTTTTCTAACTGGCACTGTTTTTGAGTACGTTACCCACTTTCACTTTCAAATAAAAATAATCATACAAAAGCGAAAACTATGGGCGTTCTTTTCACAATTATCTATGTGAAGCGATACATCTGACACGTCTCCTGTGCCAATTTTCTTTCGCAAGTGTTACTGAGTATTTCCCAGGGTGCAATTTACACAACTGTTGGGCACACCATTGACTTCTATTGACCAAAATGCAAAGAATCGCACAACACCACCAACGCCTATCAATTAAGTAGGTTCGAAGAGACATTCAAATGTGTGTTTGTGTTTGGATTTCTTCTAGACATCAAATGAAAACCTGTCCACCAATTTTCTTCATTCGTTTTGTAGGGATTTTGTTAAGAACCACTCTTAATGACACGCAATCATTAATTGATCATAAAAAAAATCCCCCCACTTCAATGGAATAGAGCAAAATAGTTAGAGATATAGATAACGCTCAACTCTATCCCCTTCATTGTCAACGCAACAATGCGTCAAGAATCACTATACCCATTTACATTACATCAGTGAGGGAAAAAACACTTCTATCATTACAGAACTTCCTCGATCACAACCCAGCCAACGACAATGTCGTTGAAAGTGGGTCCCTCTCCCCCTCTTTCTGAAATCACACAATCAAAACCCATAGAATAACTCACACACAGGCCACACACATAACAAACATTACCAAGTGGCAAGCGAAACAACAAACAACACGGCTGCGGATAGATATTAAGAAAACACCTAACAAATAAACAAGAACAAGATGTAGAGAGGTATATGAAAGGATTTATACGATAATTATAAGCGGAGACGAAGTAAATAAATACCTAGGAAAGCGGAGGCGTTGACAGGGGTGGAGGTCCTTGGGTGGACCCTGGCGAACCATGAGGGGACCACATTAGAGCGACCGATGACGCACATGTAACGAGCCTGACCCAGCATCGCCACCAACAGCGACGTCAGTATCCCAAAACTGGCCCCCACCCCGATTACTCGAGACACCCATCCCCAACCGTCCGATTTCCCACTGAACGCCGCCGAAAACGGCGCTTCTGCATCGATCTGCGTGCACCCAACTCATCAGATAATTTCGTATCATCACATCCATTCCTCACGACAATCATTTTTAATCACAAAAACACGTCCATTATTCATATCAGTTAAATTACGTGCTTGTTAGGTAACTATTAACCACGATTAACTAGCTAAACAAACTTTCCATCTCCAAAAAGTTAAAACTAGTTCTAATATATCTCTTTCATTGAACAATATAAAATTAATTTTTAAAAAAGCTAGAGACACTTCTATATTGACCTACGATTTTTGTCTGCCATACCAATTGGCTGATTTGACATTAGATTTTATGGAAAATTCTTGTATTCTTGTAAATGAATGCCTGTATTTATTTATTTATTTATGTTTCTGAAGCTGAAAAAAAACAAAAATAGAGCAGGAATTAAACTCACCATATCGTAAGGGAGAAGTTTGGTCATCGATGCGGCCATGAGACAGTAGAGAACGGTGACGATAACGACGGAACCGGACACTCCAACCGGAATATCCCTCACGGGATCCTTCACTTCCTCTGCCATGGTCGAAACGGCGTCGTAGCCGATGTAACTCAAGTAAACAGCGGCGGCACCTTTGAAAACGCCGGCAGCGCCATGCGGAAAGAATCCGCCGGGGTTTTCCGGGTTAGCGGGTTCGGTGAAATTCTGCCAACTCCCTCTCCAGAATCCTACCATTATCACGAACGCTATGAACAATATGTGCAGCGCCGTGAGAATCATGTTCATCACCGAACTCTCTCTCGTGCTAAAACACAACAAAATCAAAGGTTAACGATGATAATAACAATAATATAGATTCGAGACTGGAAACAGAGCTTCATTAATGCGGGAACTATGAACCTGTAGCAGATGACGAGAGTAATGAGCAAAACAACGGCGACAGCGACGACGTCTATTTCGTTGAAGCCGTGCGGAAAAGACGGCACCGTGAGCCGCCATTTTGAGGAGGAGATTCCGATTGCGGTGCCGAGGTAGCCCGTGAAGCCTCGGGCGACGGCGGCATTGGAAAGCACGTAGTCCACCACGAGATTCGCGCCGGTCATAAAAGCTGCGAATTCACCTGCGATAAAGGACGACGTTGTGGTAGGTGAGAAAGAAAATGTCGAGATGTAGAAACAAAAAAAATATATTATAGGTTCAGAACCACTGGTCTTTGTACATAATTTTATATTTATATTTTTTAATTAGTGAGAAAATATTAATATTAATAATAACGCGTCGCGTGTTTCGGAGTGTGTAATAATTTATGGGGCAGTGAGAAGCCGAACCGAAGGTGACCCGGAGATAGCTGAAGGCTCCGCCGGCGACGGGCATGTCGACGGCAAACTCGGTGTAGCAGAAGGCGGAGAGGAGGGCGCAGAGGCCGGCAATGGCGTAGGAGAGGAGAACGGCGGGGCCAGCGTAGAGGCGGGTGGCGCGGCCGGTGGTGACGAAGACACCGGCGCCGACCATTCCGCCGATGCCAAGGGAGACGAGGTCGTACCAGCGGAGGGTCTTCCGCATGGTGGTGCCGGAGCGGGCGCGGACGTGGCTCATCTCGTCGTAGTAGGTGGAGACGGAGAGGGCGCGTCGTGAAAGGCGCGTGGGGGTGTGAGAGAGGGCGCGGAGGTAGGCGCGGAAGCTCGAAAACGACGAGGAGTCCATTGGTGAAAAGAAAAGAAAGATGTGTTGTGAGTGTGATATGAATGAGTGTGGGTTTTTATAAGAAGGTCTGCAACTTCGACATGGTTCACTCAACTATAGTTCCAGTTGTAGTCCAAGTATAGTAGAAAGGAAATGAGGAATCACTGAATCATGGTGCTTCTGCCATCTTCTCAATAAATATTATTACTATATCCTCTTTATGAAAATGACTCTTTACCACAATATTTAATTCCCTCTCTTCAACTCTTTTCCATTCTCCTCTTAATTCCCAAGCTAAAACAAACTACATTTTCATTTTTTATTTTTTATTTCTATATTGCATTTATCTTTTTACACATAGGGTAGGGTATGATACATGCAAGGTGAATCCACCCGTCAAACAAATAATTAATAAATCTTAATCAATCTTAATACTGGTTGAGACTGTTACAATGGATTGAGAATTACATTTATTAGTAACAACTGAGGTATAAGATTAAGCTCTTTTAATATATGTTTTACCGGAAAATCATGTCAATTTTGAATGTACTTTTTATTAAATATGATCATGCACAGTCGTTGATTTAAGTATCGAAGTATCTTTTGCAGGTATTCTCCCATAAGGTTTTGAGAAAGAGAAAAAAGAACGAATAACACAACTTGAATAATAGCAGAGAGTCCATCTTATCTCGAAAACAACTTTAAATGTTTTGAGTAAGGAATCTCAATCCTTACCCAAAACACATACTTTTAAATTCTTTATATGTATCATCTATATCTTAACTAATTCATCAAACTGTATTTAACAAATTATAGCAAAATCAATTTTGTTTATTTATTATGATTAACTCACTATTTTACATTAGAAAGTTATTAGTATTTATATGTGAATCTTTAAGTATCTTCTCTTTATTATAATTTGATTTTGTATTAATATAGTGATGGTATTTAAATATGGATGATTTTTAAAATCGTTAGAGTTATAGCTTTTCTTCTTTTTTTTCAATTTTTTTCTCATGTGTTCTTTTTTTTAGTTTTTTCCTTTATTTTTTTTTTCAATTTTAAAACTATAAATTATGGTTGCAATTTTGTTTTTTCTTATGAGCTCTGAAATTTTTTTCAAATATATCACGTGAAGTTTAAACATTTGTCACTTTTAATTAAGTAGATGGATATTTATCTTTACATATTGTTAATTTTTCTTAGTTTTACGGGTGTTGCTCCTTCCATCACCACACCTTTCTCCCTCCACCTCCCATTTACTATTTTGATCCTAAGTAAAATTTTGTTTTAGGGTTATTTTTTAATTTTACTCATTCACAACCTATTCCACTAATAACTTATTCCAGTCCTTCGTATATGAGTAAAATTTTTTTCTTTTATTTTAACATTATATTTCTTCCTCTCTTTCTTTTGTCAATGTGAGATACTACAAGTTGTAAAGGTTGATGGTGGTGGAAAGAATTTTCAAGCAGTCTCCCTCTCGTGGTGCAGCTCGTGGTGCAGTGTCGCTATCGTGGTGCAATGTGTGGAGTGGTGCAGTGCATGTGTTACTTCCTCAAGGTGCGTATTCGAATAAACCTTCAAATAAAACCCTAAAATAAAAAACGTAAGCTTTAAACAGAGGTGACATCCTTCAACGGATGTCAACATCCGTTTAAGGAAAAAACGGATGTCAACATCCGTTTAAGGAAAAAACGGATGTCAACACTGTTGAACGGACGCTATCAGATCCTACACTATCAGGCCGAACGCTAAAACCGAGTACCATATTAAATTGCAAACTATTTGGCCGAACGTCATGAGATTAAGTACTTAGGCCGAACGCTAAACCATTGAACACCATACTGAATTCATCACTGCTGGACGAGCGCTCAAAGATCAAACATCATGAAGACCGAACGCTGCCTAAGGCGTGTACTACAAACGTCATCAAGAACGACCGTTCCATATGAACGATCACCAACCAGAAAACATCACCAAGATTGGACGCTCACTACGGACGATCACTAATTGCAAACACTAACACGACCGAACGTTCACTAACACATAATATGACTGAACACATTAGATTGAAGCCTGAGACTATCGGATCAAGATCGAAGGCTAAAAATCACTGATACACCAAGGCCGAACGTTTACAATCTAAACCTCAGAATACCTGATCCAGGTCGAACGCTATCAATCACTGATCACATAATAATACCGAACGCTCAAGATTCAAACTTAAGACTATCAAATTAAAACCGAACGCTCAAGATCACTTCCTGAGAATACCAATTTAGGACGAACGCTTATAATCACTAGTTCACCATGACCGAACGATTAAGATTCAAACCTAAGATTTCAATTTAAGGGCGAACACCTACAATCACTAATACATCAACACCGAACGATTTAAGATTCAAACCTAAGAATCGAAATTAGGACCGAACGCTCACAAGCTAAATCTGAGAATACCTCAATAAATTCGAACGCTTATAATTTCTAATACAGAACCAAGACCGAACGCTAAATAGCACTTTCTGAGAATATCAATTGAAAGCCGAACGCCTACGATCACTGTTTCACGAAGACTGAAAGCTCAAGATTGAAGCCTATCAATTTAAGACCGAACGCTTAGAATCACCAGTTGAGACTACCAACTCAAAACCGAACGCTTATTATATCAAATACATCAAAACCGACCATTTAAGATCCAAACTTAAGAATTTCAGATTAATACCGAACGCTCAAGATTGATGTACTTTTGTCTTGTTAAACGGATGTTGACATCCGTTGAAGGATGTCACCTACGTTTTTAATTTTAGGGTTTGTTTTATTAGTTTATTCTTTATTTTAGAAATATTTTAATAATTTAATTTAAATGTTTTGATTTATTATTTTTGAATATATTTTTAATGTATTTTAATAATGTAAGGAAAATGAAGAAGAAAGAAACA